TAGGGTAAAGATTCACATCTATATTTTTTTTAATTGGATGAATGAAACATTTTTTTGAGTGTAGAAGTATTTGCTATTCTCTAAAATTATGAATAATTAATTTTGAACCATTAATGCTAGATAATATAGTGGGGTTAAAAGAATAGTTCACCCAAAAATGAAAATAGTATAATTATTTACTCATCATTTACTCATGTTTTTCCAAATTTAAATGAACTTCATTCTTTGGTTGAACACAAAAGTGGATATTTTGAAGAATGTTGGTAACCAAATAGTTGCTGGTAGCCACTGAGTTCCATAGTAATGAAGAAATACTATATACTATAGTAATGCTATAATAATAATAATGCATATTAACACATACAGCTAACTAAACCTGTTTCTCCTTTCCTAATGAGAGTTAAGGAAAAAAATTAATTAGGGAAAAGATGAAAAGGAAAATGAGTGAGAGTAAAACAGAGATGTGACACTGCCGTTTGGCACCCTGTGCTGCCATGCATTGCAACTTTTTTTTACGTGTTTTTTTTTTACAGTGAAGTGTATTTAGCACAGATTATTCAGTTTGACGTAATAAGTATATACTAATATAACTGACTGATGCCATTTCAGACTCGGCTCCACTAAGCTTCATTATTCATCTCTATTGGCCGCCGCATTCGTTAATTTCCTCTCACTTGTACTGACTGTGGAATAGATGTTATCCCTGCGTGTTTTCCCTCTATTGACACTGCACAAATGGAATGTATACTTGTTAGTGTATATGTGTGTGTGTTTGAGTTTGTGTGTATTAGAGGAGAATTTAAATTAACTCAGAAAGAGATGAGTGCAAGCATTTGGCTTTCTGTGTCTTCTTTGAGCTGGAGAGCTGGATTGTAATTTCACAAACAGACTCACCCACATATACAACCAAGAGTGCATATTTAGATAGATAGATAGATAGATTCTTTATGGCCACTGTATATGCAAAAGCATCCACAATATTAATGTGTCATATCTACTGTTACATTGCTCCTCATGATTTTCCTATGTGTATCAGTGTTTGTCTCTGTGGTACATTGTGGGCTCCAACTTGAGCTACTTTCCTTCCTAAATCCTTGGCATTCCCTTCCATCCACCCGGAACCATTCCTGCATACTCTGATCCATTGGTCATGGCACTGGCTGGCACAGAAAGAGCAGCCACTGTGCACGGAGACAGTGGTCCTGACAGCCCTGCCACCCTCTTTATATGACTCTGGAAATGGATGAGGAAGGGTGTAAAGAGAGACATATGTGAAAGATGTCCTGCAGCACTCTCATAAAGGAACATAACAGCATCCTGACATCAAACAGTCCTTCAAGTGTAGGATAGTATCTTTGCATTTTCCATCAATCAACCTTACATAGCAACAATGACTCAGTCAGAGGTTTGAGTTTGGGGGTGGGACTATTCGTTTGTCTGACCAATGGAAGATTGGGGGAGTGTTCCAGAAACCCGTTTGAAACTGTTAAAGGGTAGTTCACCCAAAAATGAAAATGCTGTCATGAATTACTAACCCTCATGTCATTCCACCCCGTAAGACCTTCATTACCCATATAGGACCATATAAGATCTACGTCAGAATTCCACATGTATGCGTTGAATAAAGTCGCTATTTTTGTTCTCTTTGCGCACAAAAAGTATTCTTGTAGCTTCATAAAATTAAGGTTGAACCACTGATGTCACATGGACTATTTTATTGATGTCCTTACTACCGTTCTGGGCCTTGAATATGTCAGTTGCATTGCTGTCTATGCAGGGTCAGAAAGCTCTCGTCCAAAATGGACATGGAGGAGACAAATTGTTAAATAAAGTTGTTATTTTTGTTTTCTTTGCACACAAAAAGTACTCTTGTAGCTTTGTAAAATTACGGTTGAACCACTGATGTCACATGGATTATTTTAACGATGCCCTTGCTACATTTCTGGACCTTGATCATGGTAGGATCCTATGGGAGGGTCAGAGAGCTCTTGGAATTCATCAAAAATATCTTAATTTGTGTTGCGAAGATGAACAAAGATCTTACAGGTTTGGAACGACATGAGGGTGAGTAACTGATGACAGAATTTTCATCTTTGGGTGAACTAACCCTTTAATATTGTAAATTAAAACTCAAAATAAAAATGAAATAAAAACATTCTTGCTAACTGAAATAAGAATAAAAACAGGACTGAAAGTATATACTCATGGCTTTAAAATGTAACTTCTAAATAACTGAATGAATGATTTTTTTTTTAATATTACAAATTAGTGGAGTAACTGACAGCCCTAAAAACAAAAATTAAAACTGAAATAAAAATTAAACTGAAACTAGAACACTATGAAAAAACAAAACAAAAATTAAACTGAAACTAGAACACTATGAAAAAAACTACAACTAAATTAAAAATAATAATTATATAGGGAAAACGAATGAAAATTGGTCAAACTGAAAAAAGGTGATAGCTCACTCAAAAAGAAAAAAAAACGAACAATTATTTACTCGCCCTCATTTCATTCCAAATCTGTCTTTTTTTATTTATTAATTTTTTTGTATGGACAAAATTGTTTATGTTCTACAATAGAAACAGTCATACAGGTTTGGAATGTCATGAATGTGAGTAAATGAGGAGTAAATTCTAAACTACAAGTCATTATTTTCAAAATCATATTTGGTGACACTAATTGCACAGAAATGACACACATTGATTAGTGTGTAAATGATGACAAAACTTTTATTTTATTCAAACTATCCCTTTAAACTGTAAGGAGCTTGTGTCAGCTTTGCATTAACAACATCAGAAGCATCAATAGGCATGTATATTGTAGAGCTCCTCACTTGCGGTTTTGATTGACATATATAATGATGGAGCTCTTCAGTAATGAATCATTGAGCTGTGGACTGCTGTGGCATTCCCGCAGTGCGGGCTCATTTCAACACTAACGCATCCTCTCGCTGTCCCGGACTCCTCTACTTCAGTCAGATCTGGAATGAAAACATGCTCACAGATGCCTCACCTCCCCACACTTAGAGCTGGGTTTGTTATTCTGAAATATATTTAAAGTGACAGCACACATCAGCCCAGCTCCGTGCTAAAGTCATCAGAAATTTAACGCTTGTGCTTAAAATAGACACCCACGCTGACAGCGATGCCATGGTTTACCTCAAACTCTTATTTTCGACAGAGATAGCGAGACCTCACTTATTGCCAATCAACGTGACTTAGATGTCACTGGAATGTCATTTGAGGTCATCGTACAAATACAAACACTCCCAGAGTCTATTTTCCATAGCAACACGGATCAATGACACCTGCCTTCATCTCCATGGGAACGCACATGTCCTTCTTTGACTACCTTCCCTCTCATTCTTTCATTAATCTCTCCCTATTTCTCTGTCTCTCACTCTCTCTCTCTCTGAGCGTTATACAAACCATTTATTTCCCTGCACAAATAGGAAATTATCTATAATTTATGAGCCCCACATCTATTTATTAGTTCAGCATGGATTACTGTGATCTGTGTGGGCTTCCGGAGAGTCACATTTCTGTTAATGATCTCCCCAAGGTAAATTTAACCACAATTAGGCGGTAAATAACAGCCCTGAACTGTCTGATGAATTGATGAAGGCAAACCCTCCACCAGAGGATCTTGGTACAGGTCCTTTCATTTGCCCAAATAAAAGGAAGAAAGCAAAACAAGACAAACAAACTGATTTTTTAGGTTTTCAAAAGCCCTGCTCTAGAATTTCCAACCCTGCACATTCAGCAATAACAAGTCGTTAGGTCTACATTGAGGAGAAATGCTTTGTTGTTAATTTTTGTCTTTTGTTTCCCAGCCTGACTCATGATATTCGTAGGAAAAGATGGGTAGGAAGTGTCCTTGAGTTTAATATAAACACGTAATTAAAAGGATGATAAATAATTAGAACTTGCTGGCCCTAAACATTCACTTTCAGATATTTATCAAGAATAAAGCCATTAGTTTTACCAAACACAGAATACAGAAAACTATTTTAATAATAATAATAATAATATGAATTAACATTATTATGGCATGATTTAGATTTTTTACTTGTATCATAATTATTTTTAGACCAATTAATGTGATACACATGTAAGCCTATAATGAAGTGATAAATATGACTATATATAATGCAATTATTTCCAATAATTAGAGTAAGGTCTTAATCGCAGTAAGATGTTTACATTACAAAAGAAAACCTACTTACTCCAATTTACATGCAATTTTCATTATTCTGATTATTTACACAAATATTTTTTGTATTTTGTCAGTATTGCATCCAACAATTAAGTAGCTTGCTGTAGCTTGCTTCCTCGGGTGAATGCAATTTCTGTCTACCATAACTTTTAAAACACTTTTGTGGATACTGAAATGTTTCATCAACCCTAGACACACTACCGTTTGGAGTCAGAAACCCAGTTTGGGGTCAGAAAGATTTTTTTTTTTTAAAGAATGAAATTAGTACTTTATTCAGCAAGGTTGCATTAAATTGACCAAAAACAAATTATTTTCAAATAAATCCTGTTCTTTTGAAATGCATCACTGTTTCCACAAAAAAAAAAGTTTTTTTTTTTAACATAAAACATTTTAAAATAAATGTCCCTTGAGCATTATTGCTTCGCCATCACAGGAATAAACTGCATTTTAAAATATACTAAAATAGAAAATTTTAGTAAGATTTTGCAGTATTACAGTTTTTACTGTATTTTTGATCAAATAAATGCAGCTCTAGTCAGCATAAGAGACTTCTTTCAAAAACATGACAAGGAAAGATTAGGACAGAGAGAGAGAAAGAAGGAGTGGAGGCTGTCAAATAAAATATGTATCTATTAGCTTGCAGCTGGTCTACTGTGTTCTTAATTAGGCATGTCCTGAGGCTATCATGTCTGAATGGATTACGCCCTACATTCTCCAAAACACACACAACACACAAACACATACATATCCACACACACCATATGCCACACAGTCTGTGGCCTGTGTGATCTTCCTGCCATCCTTTCTCTGATGCTTATCCAAACCCCATCACAGAGTTATTGGCATGTGTGAGAGACAGAAACAGAGTACTACCATCCACTGCCTCCTGGACTCAAATCAATAAACCGTCTTTGCGTATTTATGGTTTATTGCTTTTTTTTGTCTTGCAGGAACAGACCTTTCTGTTATCTGAGCTGCTGTTGGGGCACTTGTGACCTTGACAACCAAATCTGCACTGTGTTTGTGCTGGTGCGCTGTCAAGCCCGCTGCCACTGTGTCATTTGTGGCAGCTAAATTGAAGGAGTGCTCTAATCATCTCCCACACGTCTTGCCCCTCGCCACGCGTGCGGGAAGCCCCGGGCGGCCAGCCCGCTCATTCCGCTGTCTGTCTTCCTGCCCACAAACATCCCATCATCAACAATGACCTGAAGCCACACGGCATCTGCTGTATGAAAGATGTTGATTTTATTGGCAAAACACGGCTCCTTTGGGTTATGGTCCACTTCGTGTGAGCAGTATGATGAAGACCACAAACTATAACTCACATCGATGGGATTCTCTTCATATGTGAAGAAAACACAGCTAACATAACACACAAAAATGGACCACAGGCATGGGTTTCTCAATGGCCTGGATGAAAAAAAGCCTGCGTTTTTGCACCCCAGCAACAGGTGGACGGGTGTATTGACTGTCATAGAGAACAACAGAGCACAACATCAAACATGGGGCCTGTGGACACTCGGGTCTGTACGGAAAATCAAAATCTTAAGCTTCCTTTTCGGACTTATGGTCACCGTTCTCATCATGGCATCCTACATCTTGACGAGGGACCAGAAAGGGCTCTTTTTAACGCCATCACCATATCACCTTACTGTGGAGTCTCATCCGGCTCAGCTGCCCCTTAATCTGTCCTTCGCTACAGACTACACAGTTGTGAGAGAGGTGGTGAGGAGCATTGTGGCCAGAGTGGATTTCAGTCAGAGAAGAGTGCCTGACCTGAGAGAAGTGAGAGAGAAAGAGCCAAACGTATGTGCATTTGAATTAAATTGATAAACATGCAAAATATCTTGATTTTCTTTAAAATTCAAAAATCATGTAAATAAAAAATGGCATATTTGATTGTTTCTGTGAATTTTAAGATTAATATCATTATCTAGAAATCTTATTTTAGATAACTGTTTTCTATTTTAATACATTTTAAAATATATTTTATTCCTGCAATGGCAAAGCTGTTCAGTCTTCAGTGTCAAATGATCCTTCAGAAATCATTCTAATATGCTATGTATTATTATCAATATTGAAAACAATTGTGCTGCTTAATATTTTTGTGGAAACCAGGATACATTTTTTTCAGGATTCTTTAATGAATAGAAAGTTCAGCATTTCTTTAAAATGTATATATTTTGTAATATTAGACACTTTTTTTTAAATCAGTTGTATGCAACCTTGCTAAAAAACATGAATTTCTAATAAATAAATAAATAATAAGCCTTACTGGCCCCAAACTTTGTACATAAATTAAGTAAATACTACAAGCTACGCTCTGTCAAGTCTTAGTTTGCTAGTATAAGCCTTCTGGTCTTTCTCGTCCACAGATATTCTCTGCAATTCCTCTCAAATTCCTTCCCCATCTCAAGAACCCCTGTTGGTATGAAGAATTCTTTGGGAATGTCACAGCTGATCCGTATGGGAAAAACCTGTATGCTCTTTATTCAAAGCGCTTCCAAGCAGTATATGACCACCTGCGCAGAGCGTTTCCGGCTCACCTGCATCAGCACACAGGTAGACAGTATCGCCTGCGCTGCCTGCCCTTCTTTTACATCATCGGCCAGCCCAAGTGTGGCACCACGGATCTCTACGACCGGTTACAGCTACATCCAGAGGTCCATTTCACCACTATGAAGGAGCCACACTGGTGGACACGAAAGAGATTTGGTGAGTTTCATGTAAGAGATAAATGACAGGGTTTAAAATGTGAATTCATGATGCTAGATGGTCTTCTTTTAAAAGTCCGCAAAATGTTCACCACTTCAATTTTCTTGCAATGCAGAGCATCTGCTTAATGTTTATCACATTCAGTTTATTACACAAACTTTACAGCTAAAGAACAGCTGCCATGCAATTCTGGTTGCATGTTAATAATAAATAATAAATAGAAATAATTGTATAAATAAAAATAGTAAAAATAAATAATTGTACTTTGTATTCCCCTGGTTTAAGGTATCATCAGGTTGAGTAATGGTTTTCATAACCCCTATCCACTGAATGACTACCTGGACCTTTTTGACCAAGCAGCCAATCAGATTCAAGATCACTTGACAAGCAACTCCTCCAAAACCCACAAAAAAGTGGACATCATAATTGGTAATTTTTTTTTCAATTATGTTTTAGATTTAGTAACTAAATTGTTGTGTAGACCTTTTGTTTTGTTAGCCACACCTCTTTTACCTAAAATATTTATTTGAAGTACCCTGTGAAGTTGTTATTTTATATATTTATGTTAAGTTAATATTTCAATAATTTTCTCATGTTCACGGTTCTCCGACATCAGTTAACAGTCAGGTAAACAAAACTAAACTAAAAACAACCAAAAATAATGTTGTATTTTGATTTGTTTATATTTTTTAAATTATTTTACATTTATTTTATTTTTAAATTTGTACTATATAATTAATTATCAAGCATAGCGTTAGTTCTGGCAGGTCACGTTAGTCAAGCTCGCATCAGCTGACCTTCAGCTGATCCCCATCTACCTATGGGAATGTGACACCTATCTAAGCATTCATATATAAGGTCCCTCAGTATTATCAGCAGTTTTCGCATTGCTCAATAGCTAATTACCCTCCTCCATCCCCAACTCCTCCTCTGTCAGTCGGGATTCAGCCTTCTGATTCTCCTTGAATCAGACTAATTCTAAAATGTATACATAAAATGATTGAACTTTAACAATATCTGCAATACATTTATGTTAGTTCTGTTCTGTTTACCCTGGGGGGTTATCGCTGCTCTCCCTGCGCAGGGAGTTCTTGCCTAGAACAGAACCATACCGCCAATCCAAACTGTATGCTAATTGTCAATCATCTTTGACGATAGTGGTCCTGACAGAAGTTAGCTTTTCATAAACTCAAAACCCCCCTGCAGTTCCCTCTCGAACCCCAGTTTGGGAAGGTATTGTGTTTTTTTCTATAATGATGATGATGAAGAAAGTGCTCAAATTAAATACACATCATCTAGACTTTTTAATTAGAGATGCCAGATGCTATGGTCAAGGTCTATCCTCTTGTTATGACTCATAACAATAAATAATTTAGAAATTTCAGTCTTTGTCTACTGAGGCCTGAGAAATTGTCAACTAAATCAAAAACAAAACAACCCAGTCATAAATAATCACTAATAACATTAATCAGATTAAGCCTTCAAATCTAAGTCTTGAAATGAAATATCAAGTTGGTAAGGATCAAGCAATTAACACATTTTATGATTGACAGGTGAGGCGAGTGCATCCACAATGTGGGACAATAATGCTTGGGTTTATTTCTACGACAACGGAACGAAAGTGGAGCCACCTTTTCTGGTGCAAGACTTCATTCATGCTGTCCAACCAGATGCCAGATTCATTGTGATGCTCAGAGACCCAGTAGAAAGGTACTACTCCACTGTTTAAATAAGATATAATAATGATTTATGGTTTGGATATCATAACCAGTATAATATTACTATGTGAGAGATGCTTTTTAGATTGTCCTCTTAACCTCTTATTGTGTTTGTGCACTGTGTGTGTGTGTGTGTGTATTTGCGTGTGAGAGAGCAGGCTTTACTCAGACTATCTGTACTTTGGCATGGCTAATAAATCTGTGGAGGATTTTCATGAACGAGTATCAGAGTCGTTGCACCTGTTTGAGGGCTGCTTGGCTGAGAGGTCCATCCGTTCCTGCATTTACAATACCACTCTCAACAACCTGATGCCTGTGAGTGCAGTATGAATCATGATCATATTAAATGTGAATATTTAATTTGCTGTTCCTCTCTTAAAGGGAAAGTACACCCCAAAAAAGAAAATTCTGTTTACTCAACCTCATGTTCTGAACCTGTGTGATCTAAAAAAGATGTTATGTGTAATGATGCATAGAAAGTGAATGGGGACCAAGGGTTGTCAAGTTGCAAAAAACGATTCCTTCAATTCATTAAAATGTTATCAGATCTTCTGAACGATAGATAGATATGTCTCACCAAAGCATTTCAGTTGGTAATTCTCATTAGGGACGGGCACCAAAGGCAGCTGGTATGAGTCAGAGTCAGATTTTGTTCAGTCTGATATGATGTAATTGGTTCAGCCACCAGGTGCAGCCGCATAGATAAGATATACCCACCAGGGTATGAGCTGTTCTGGCTGTTCCCCAAAGCTGTGCAGCCAGTAGATGATCTTCACCTCTGGAGAAAGCTGTTGGAAGCTGAAATGAAAGCACTTTTAGAGAAATCTAAACGTGTTATGAAGTACACATTGTTTTGCTGCACTGATCTGGGGATTAAAGTCATGAATGTTTGATTTATGGCTTTGAAGCTGTTGAAGCTGGTTGATGAACCAGCAAAAGTCTGGATTGCTGAATCATTGCTGCTTAGTCTGGTAAATTGGATGTAATATAATACAAATAGAAGCTTGTGCACCATCCAGAATTGAACTGAGGATGTCTATTATATTTTGATTTAATGAACTGAAATTGAACTGAGGTAAAAAACAGAATGCAGAATTGTTATTTTAATATAATAAATCAAATGTCAGTTTGTGAACACTAGTAAGCCATTTAACATACTGTAATTCTCAGATTTGATCTATACTCTTTAAAATGGAGCCAACCATCAATACATGGATGTAATATAATACAAATAGAAGCTTGTGCACCATCCAGAATTGAACTGAGGATGTCTATTATATTTTGATTTAATGAACTGAAATTGAACTGAGGTAAAAAACAGAATGCAGAATTGTTATTTTAATATAAATAAATCAAATGTCAGTTTGTGAACACTAGTAAGCCATTTAACATACTGTAATTCTCAGATTTTATCTATACTCTTTAAAATGGAGCCAAACATCAATACACATAATAAATGTAAATATTTATTGGCATAAAGTTATCTGAGAACAATGTGGTGGACATTTTAACATTTTTGATGGTTGTAAAAATGTTATCTACATATCAAGAAATAAATAATAAAATTAGTCAAAATTAATTACGTTATTATTTATAATTTGTACTAAACTTCTGCTCATCAGTTGGAGATGAATTTTTTATTGGTATTATAATACAGCACGTTAAATACATACTACACAAGATGTTTACATCAGAAGCTACTTACTGTAAAAGATATAGTAAGAATAATCACCATATAATACAGCAGTGCATAAAATACTGTTATAAAACTGAAAAAAATCAGGGATTGTTACACTGCTACATGTTATACTGAGCCTTTGGGTCCCTCTGTTGGTGAACACATGAAAGTAATGCAATCACTTTAATGATATAGAGTGGGGGAACTATGACGTCACTTTGTACTGGTATGCGGATGGGCTGTTAGCATCGCACTGGTTCCCTCCACAAAAAGCCAATAGGAGTTTTCCATAGGCTTTTAGATTATCGCAAAAAATAAGCTCTGTGTTCAATCATAGTTCATCGTAAACATTTAATTTTAACATGGCTTTAAGCACTATGCATCGTTAAAGTTTCACTTTCACAGTGACTAAGCAGGTAAATGTGGTGTTTACATGGAATAATCATATGAGTTTACCTTATGGTACGAACCCAGATCAGTATCAGTAGGAAAGCCATAAAACGAGCATCTTCCATCCGAAGACTTGAGTTGCATTTCGGAGCAAAAAAAAACAAACATTGTCGAACAACAATATAAAATGCGGTAAACTATGAATTGGTTAGTCTACAATTAATTGTACTATAAATTATACTACAATTGGAAGATACTGTAAATTGATAAACTGTTCGGCGTGATGATGTTTAATGTCTCCGACAGCATCTGTAGTTCCATTTAGCAACTTGTTAGAAACGTAACAGTTTTAAAAATATCACGGGTGGGCTGTAACTGGTGTGTTTTATGTCGTAGAATAAAACGTGAAAGTATCTTGAGCCTGTGTGAACCACGGACCTTATTTTAGGGATTTAACCAAAATCC